TCTGGGGCCCCCAGCAGAAGAAAGACATGGAGCTGCTTGAGTGTGTGCAGAGGAGGGCTACAAAGATGATCAGGGGGCTGGAGCACCTCTCCAATGAGGACAGGCTGAGAGAGCTGGGGTTGTTCAGCCTGGAGAAGAGAAGGCTCCAGGGAGACCTTATAGTGGCCTGCCAGTGCTTACAGGGAGCCTACAGGGAAAGTAGGGAGGGACTCTTGATCAGCAAGTGTAGTGATAGGATGAGGAGTAATGGTTTCAGTCTGAAAGAGGGGAGATTTAGATTAGATATTAGGAAGAAATTCTTCACTGTGTGGGTGGTGAGACACTGGCACAGGTTGCCCAGAGAGGCTGTCACTGCCCCCTCCCTGGCAGTGTTCAAGGCCAGGCTGGATGGGGCTTTGAGCAACCTGGTGTAGTGGAAAGTATCCCTGCCCATGGCAGGGGGGTTGGAACTAGGTGGTCCTTACAATCCCTTCCAACCCAAACCATTCTATGAAGCAGAAGTCAGTTGTACTTCTAATCTTGCCTCTTCACAAGGGTGTGATTCTGTAATGCTCTGTGCAGAGCCTGGGGGCTTGCTTGTTTGACATCAGTACAAGACAACAGCTTTTACCACCACCCAGGCAGGAAGAGGCCTGAGCTAACTATGGCCTTTATTGAAGGCTGTTCTAAATTATTATTTCATGGCAGCTTTCCTTTCTTCTCTGACGGCCTTTGAAGCAACTATAAGGCTTCTTCCAGTTTGCACTACAAATAAGGAAAAGCTGGTCAGGAATTTGATAGATGGTGTTAGCTGTGGTCATAATGGCCATGAAATGGCAAAGTTTAAGTTCCTAGGAGGCGTACGGAAGGCAAGCAGGAGATGAAAGCCCCAGAACTTGAGGAGAACAGACTAGCCTGTTCAGGGAACAGGTAGGCAGGATCCCAAGGGAGGCTGCCCTGAAGGACAAAGGATGTCTTGAAGGGTAAAGAGGCCCAGAATAACTGATTGTTTCTCACAGGCAACTTCCGTAAAGCACAAGAATGGTCCATCTCAGTGTGCAAGAATCCAAGCAGGTCTGGCAGAAATGAAAGTTAACTTCATACAGAGCTGCATTAGCAAGAACAGAGTCATTAGGTTTGAACATACTATTACTTCCCTTTACTCTGCCCTTGTGATATCACATCTGGAAAACTGTCTCCAGTTTCAGACCCCTGGTGAAAGAGAGATAGTGACAAACTGAGGTGATGACCACCAAGACGGTTAGGGCAATGGAGGACAAGGAGAGGCTGAGTGAGCTGGGGAGTTTTAGTCTAGAGAAGAAAACACTCTTCATCTTTCTAAATGGAGTTATAGAGAAGACGGAGATAGACTCTTCAGAGACCTGCACACTGAAAGGATGAGAGACAATGGTCACATACTGCAGCAAGGACAAATTCAGGTGGACACAAGGAGAAAAAAAAAATTCACAATTAATTTGGTCAAACTGGGACAAGTGCCCAAAGATGCTGCGAAGCATCAACTATTGGAGATTTTAAAAACTTGACTGGATAAAGCTCTGAGCTGCCTGATCTAACTTTGAAGCCAGCCCTGCTTTGAATGGGACGTCACACTTGATTGCCACAAGAGGTCCTTTCCAACCTAAATTTATTCTGTCACTCAGGAACTCTGTTTAGGCTCCTTCCATACGTCCTTCCAAAAGGCAAGTCCATCTGCCTTAGCACAGGTAAGGTGAAATGTCCCTCTGGTGGTGTTTCTTACTATTGACAATAGAAGTTTAAGCAGTTGGTTCATACAAAACACTTAGCCTTCAAATGGCATGAATCCCATTCCCAATAATGTCTTGAGCTGCTCTCTGAACCCTAAGATGGCACAGCAGACCATACTACAAGCTGTTCTCTTCAGCACAGCTATTCTCTGCTACCTACTTTGCCATTTAAGGTTGCAAAATGATACAAATACTTCATTCCAATAACAGGTATTAAAATTGCTTCATCTAAGACTTTTTTTTAAAGATATGTAAGCAGGAAAATGACTGATCTTCCTATCTTCTTCCAGATTTTTGTGGTAAGACAGCATCCAGGCCATTTCAAAACAATGTATATAATTCCTTTTTTTCTTCAAATCAATATGCTGGTTTCTGTCTTACGAGAACTCTAACTTCACCTATGATCTAAGTCACATTACATCTTTTCATTTTCCCAGTAGGTCTGTGTTTAAATAGATGAACACCCCGGCTGCATCCTGATCACATGTTGGTATGAGTGGTAAATATGCACCACTTCTCATCACTCTCTCCTTCAGTGCCCTGTTTTCCCTTGGGAGGTAGTAAACAAACAGGCTCTCTAGTCCTGAAGGAGATGGATAGAGGTCAGGGCTGCAGGGAACACAGTAGAGCACACCACCCTGTCTTCTAGGGACAAGCTAAAACACTCCTCTTCCACATCAGGTTCTACCTTAACTTGCTCTGCCCTCAAGCTATTACAGATTTAAGATATTAACTATTATGAGGAATTCCTACTGAGAGAGAAAGAGAGATAGTAATTTCATGTTGTCACGCCTTTGGGTCTGAAAATCCCTCTTACTCTCCACTTAACATGATGGGCCATTGAACAGTAACACCACAGGAAAAGGTTGTTGCCCATGATATTCCACAGGACACAGCTTTAACTACTGACAATGCAAAGTATTTATAAGCTCTTCTTATGTCAGTATGGTCCCTCCCACCAGCATGATTTTAATTCATGATATAATTAAACCGTCACCTTGGCTGTGCCAAGATCAAAAAACATTTTTTAACTTTTTTGTGGGTGATCTGAAGTCTCAGATGGGATCATGATATTTACAGTAAGTACCTTCAGCAGCCCTGTCATACTGGTGGGACTGGGAGTAGATGTAGAAGAGCTTGGTCAGGACCATGTCCCCCTACCCAATCCATCAACGTCTTGTGCAAGCTGAATGGCTCCAGGGTCCTGTATCTTGCTGCTACCACTATCTTTTCACAAATCATAGCAGGATTTTGCTAAATATCTTTGCTTTTCAACAACAACAATAGTAATAGTAAAAATAACACAGTTCTTCTCTGAAGCCCTGATTGAGAACAGTCCCGAAGTTGAAAGATATTGCATATACAGAGCGTAAAAAGACAGGATTTCCCTTGAAGAACATCTGCTCTATAGGGATAAAGGGTAAGAGGACAAAAAGACAGTCCCAAGGTCTCACACTGAGATGATAAAGCTTACTTAACTTCACACACCTACAAAAATAGTCTCTCTGGAGTCCCTCAATAAAGGAAAGAGATGTGTAGGGTTCCTCCATAGGGCATTCATCTGATCCAGTTAGGCCCCTCTTTCAGGATGAAATTAATCCCTAGCTAGGGGAACTTCTTACACACCTACTCTTTTCACTGCCAAATGAATGTTTTACTGCCAATGAAAGGCTCTTGCAGGCCTCCTAGGGAAGACAAGGGAGACTAATGCAGACTTGGGGATCTAACTTTCCCCTGCCTAAATGAGGGCAGATGAACTGACCCAGAGTGGAGAACACACATGTCACTTTGCACCTCTGCCCATTAGTTCCTGGTGTCTTTCAAGTGCCCTTTTCGTCTTTAACAGCCTCTGCTACTTTCTAGTGATAGCTGAGGTTTTTTAAAGATTACAAATGCAGAAAAAAACAGGACTCACATAGGCTCTTACCTTGCAAATTAATGACAAAATGCATTGAAATATCTTAGGATTTCCGTCAGACTATGAATATTTTTTGCATGTCTTTTAAAAGTGTGGAGGAGTAATTCTCAAGGGACCAAATGTAAGTATGCAGGAGGTTTTTTTCAGAAAAAAATATTATAAAATACTTCCCACACTTCACTGTGGGTCCTTTAAAAGGCAATAATGATCACTAGCTGCGTATGAAGAGCTGCGAGGTGAAGTGGGTAAGCAAGGTCAGCAGGTCAGTAACAGAAGCAGAAAGGGAGCCTGGTCCTGACATGAGTGGCCCTACCCTGTAACACAATGCTGCTGTCACAGGGCTGCCTCTCACCAGGCTTTATACAAAGGAGCACAGTGATTGAGCACATACTATCATTTACATTCTACACAACTATGTCTTACACACCAGTGTGACATCTTCCCAGACTTTTCAAGGTTAACCGAACAGCGTCCCAGAGAGCTGCCCATATCAGCTGAATTCTGAGAGGGTACATCTTCCATAGTACGTGCGGGTTATGAGGAAGGAAGGAATTCAGGTATTTGTTATCTTTCATTCACAGAGCTTTAGAGCACCCACTTACTCATATGTGACAACTGTTTTGTGTGCTCTAATCACATCCAAAACATTTCTCCTATATTGGACATGTGAATGTGCTCTGTCTTCCAACTTCTTTAGAGCCCACCGTAATCATCTTTTGTGTCACTGATAAAAAAAACCCTCTCCTTAGCTAAAGCCCTTGAGAATCCTATAAGGCAGCATCCCAAATATGCATTATTTTTTCCTGCTAAAAAAGTAGATTGAAATTGCAGTGTAATTTCATGATTTGTCCTGGATTTTTTTTATCTATCTTATCCAAAAGTAGCTTTTAGAATAGCTTCATGACTAAATAACTGTGGAGAGAATTGTCTCCAAGGCAGGCACTCCACAAGCCAAAGGACAGAAGCATATGCTTTTTCTTTCTCTTAATCACAATTAATATAATTTTTGGTCAAGGAAAATGGAAGAAATACCTCATCCTTTCTATTCTTTAATTGACTGAGCAAACAGTATACCCACCAGCAATGATGAAAAAGCCTCCTCCTGCTTTGTACAGAATGTGGCTGGCAAAAGGAGCTGCACAGATGATGAAAAAACTAGCCATCACAATAGTGAGCACTCCCAGGAGCATAAGAACTGTCCAGAAACCTCGATAAACTGGAGAAAGGGAAGAAGGAAAAAAAGAATACAACACTTTTTAGAACTTAAACAAGTGACATATTTGGCTAACAAAGATTTTTCTTTTCGCCTTCTCTTTTTACTTGCCTTATTAACAAATGAAACATTCATTCTATTGTGCATATATGTTATATATCATACGGATCAAATTAGGTTTGAATGCCAGTCCTTATCTGATGATCATGGAAAATAGGTTGTACGTCACCATGAATGAAATCCATCTGCTTAATATTTAGCAGGAACTTTTAATATAGCAACTTGACCAAATTTATGCTCTTTAGAAAATGGTACACCAAAGCTGTAGCAATGATTCTTTGCGATAAATGATTGGACTGACAGGATACAATTGTTTCACCAAAATTTTCTTGGAGAAGCAGAGCTCTGCAACATCTTCACATTCTTAGTGCTCAGACCACATCACCAATAGCAATCTGTAAGTTCTCTATAATTTACAACTGGATAATTCTCCTTACATATAGGCATATTTGACAGACTGAAATGTAAAGCAGGAGGGGGGGAGAAACCCAAAAAATGTAAACGGGGTTTCTGAAAAACAGTTAAGTATTTTAAACCAGCCTTTTCCTGATCTAAAGCTCTTTGTATTTTATTCAATTTAGAATGTGATGTTTCAGAAGCCCCTGTTAGACAGTGCCAAGCAGTGCTGAATTAATGGATGCAGCTGGTGATAAATGAGCCGAGAGTTTTGTGACATACTCTGGCCAAAAAGAGTCTTTCTAACAATTATTTTTTAGCTGGTTAATTGCACATCCATTTAACAAAGTCATCATTTTACAAATGCTACAAGAGTGACATAAATTTCTCCCATGAATTTAAAAATTGGTACATTAACACAACCCATTAGTAAAATTATGAGTTGCAAAGATCTCCATCGTCAGATCTGAAAATCTTGAAGCACTGACAATTCAGTCAGTGAAAAACATTTCCACCCAACTGAGGGAAAGCATATAAGCCAGCTGGCAAGTCAGGAAAAGTGAGTCACAAAAGAAACTGCCACTTATCATTTGACAGCACCTACTTACTGTTATGGCAAAACACAACCAAGCAACTATTATACTCGTTCATATCCTGAAAGTTTCAAATTCATACGGCTTGCCAGAGCCAGCAATTCTGGAATAATTTGGGTTTGCTCTCATCTGAAATCTGAAGGTGCACTAGACACCTGCTTCTCACCTATGTGTTTTAAAAATCTATAGTTTTAAACCTGACCAGCTTAACTCATGTTAAAGTGTACACCATCTTGCTTCTCTCAGCCTTGTAAATGTATTAGCTACATCACGTTCATCACATTAGCCATGTTTTAAATAACATCCTTTTTAATCCAGGCAAACATTCAGAGACACAATTTTCCACCACACTGATCAGCAGATTTGGGCATAGGAAGGATGAATGTGCTTGAAGGATGGCAGAAGGGTTAAAACTGTGTTTTGGTTCATATCCAATACAAGTCTTCTTGCCACATAAACAAAAAAAATACAGAAATAGCAAGTAAGAATTAAGGCTGTGGCTCAGCAAAGCAGTTAAGTGTGTGCTCTGCTTTAAGCACTCTACCTCTTACGGGATTTAGGCACCTGTTTAAAGTTAAACACATAGTTAAATGATTCACTTAATGCAAATGGACACTGAATGGAGACCTAGAAAAGTAAATCTCTCAAGTCTTTCAGTCTTGGGTCTCTGAAGCAATTTCATATTATTTTACTCATGGGGCTACTTTGCTAAGCTTCATCGCAGTCCCCACGTCCATGGGACATTACTTCCTCATTTAAAGCCTAATACCGCTAAATCAGTCTATAACCACCCAACTCTTTTACATGGATGGCCCAAGGTACTTCAAAGTCATGCTACATAATAGGACACACTGGCCAAAATGGACCTTGAAAAAGCTTTCTTCGATATCATTATGGTCAGTCACGTAAGTCATACAGCACTGTTTCTATTTTCTGAACGGATGAGGACACAATGTTCTCCAGCATTAAAAAATCAGTATCCAATTTCATTATCTGCTCTTCATACAGGAAGCTTTAAAGTCTGCTCTTAGTGAAAATTTACCAGAAAAGCTTGATTTGTTCAAATATGCCTGGAAACGGAACACAAAAGGAGTAAAAATGTAACTGATGAGAATTTGTTTAAACCTCTCTGTAACTATACAAGAGAAAAGCTGTTCTATGCATTATATGTGAAATACTGATTTGACCTAACTATCACCTCAAATAAGCGTCCATTCTATTTCTCTAGAAATAATTATTTACTCTAGAGAATCATGGATAAATTCTGATAATCTTAATACTTGTTTATCCAGATAACTCCATCATAAAACATCAGTTAGAAAATAGAACGTAGTTGACAGGTGAAAAGTCTGCAATGCTCTCAAATCTGTGACTTTCAAGCAAAAGACTACCCCTCTAATTTGCAAGACAGTAAGTCATTTGGATCATTTGTGGCACAGGTCTCTGAGGTAACATCCTAAGAGCATTTAGACTGCTTCTTTAGTAAGGGAGTTAAAAAGCAACCATTTTTCTGCAAAGAAGGCTTCACTTATTTCATACTCAGACCATTTTTTCTCAGACCACATTTCCCATCTTCTCTCCCTTGATGGGCAAGATCAATTCCTACGTGGCTTATAATTCACAATGACAATGCAGCCCTACCGCTCTCTCTTTGTACCAATACAAAGTGTTAACAGAAGTTTGCACCATTTCAAGTCTCGCTGATGCAGTTGATAAGATAGCCCATCTTCTGGTCCAGATGACAAGGAGTACCCTTTCCTCTGCAAGGTACTTCACAGATACATTTGAGCTACCTACCTCAAATACATGCATTATTCCAAGTATTTCATACAACAGAAGAAATTAAGAACAAGCACTACAGCAGAGTCCGAGGTAAACCTATCTGTAATGTTAATCTTAGATACCATTGCTCTGTGTTGCAAAAGTGCTAAACAGAAGGTTCTGTAACTTGTCTTGGTAAGCTGCCCCTTTGTCGGGTACAACATTTGCCTTGGCAGTAACAGGCAGACCTAAAAATAAAATAGTACTTAGAGGAAAACAGGGAGTATACACGGTATGCTTGTCTTTGAGCTCGGCACCGTTCAGCCTGTATACTATGGGAACATTATAGCTGCAGTATATTCTTCCAAAATTGCACGACATGTAGTTTTCCTTTGCTACTTGCTTTTCTTCCTGAAGATCCTAATTTAGGTCCCTCTGGAGCCTTTTGCATCATTTGAAAACCAGAAGTATCTGGTTTTGAGTAACAGACAAAATTTTGGAGAAATGGCTGAAAATTACCAAAAGCCCCCTTTGCTAGTATAGTAGATCCCAGCACTGTTTATAAACTGAAGCCACCTATTCACATTTTAAGATGTTACTGGTGCATGATATCAAACAGAAGCAATAATATATTTGACAAAGTTACACAGCTGTGTCACCTACCACTCACACTTGCTGTGTAGTAGCCATGCACACCTTTGAAGCTCCATAATGGGTCATTCAGGAACAGGTTAGATAATGACTCAATATGACTCATCTACTATTGAAGATGTTAATATCAGCCCCATGAAACCATACCACATATTTTATTGCCCTTGCTGACTTTAACTGGTTTAAAATCTCAGCCATCACCCAACATATTTTCTATGGTCTATCAAAAAAACCCACAGCAACCTAATATTGAATTTAATATCAATATGAATTATTAAGCACTACAAAGCTGAAAAACTTTCTGAAGCGTGCGTGAGTACATTGCTGCATAAACATTACTACGGATAGGCAAAATGACTTGAAAAAGTTGCCTTGAATTTTCACCCACAAGCTCACATGCTAAAGCGAACATTTCCTGTGATTTGACTGCAGATTTTATTTTAGAATATGTCTTTTTTACTCCTCTATTTAATGTAAGAGATATCAAAATGCTTTTGTCAAGAGTATTCCCACCCACAATATAAAAATAGAGTGAAAGGCAAAGTGCCTGAACTGTTCTAAATCACAGTATTTTCTCTGCAGATAAACAACTGTAAATGGGATCACACATCGCAGTAGCAGTGCAGGAAACACACCTGGCAACACTGTAAACCTTGCAAGACTTTTCTCATTTTCACTCAATACCCTTTACTATCCCTTAGTAGTAATAAACTTTTTTTTTTAATAACCTTAACAGTAAGACAAATATAAGATTCACAGTATGAATACATTGCTTTTTTAAATACTTCTTGGTTTATCACTGCTCGGTGGCTAGGGAGTTCTCCCTTAGTAAATGTACTGTATTACAATCTGTCATGGGCAATTATGTGACTGTATTACATAACAGCATTTATTTGCCCTAGAAATAGGCTACTGTACAGTTTTTATTTTCAGATTTCATTGCTGATATTTTCTAGATTACTTTAGGTTAATTTCAACCCAATAACAAATCTGCCAATAAATTTGATCACACCATTTTAGATTTAACAGTTGCTGAACCAGAATTTCGCTTCAGTCCTATAAACATTGTGTATTCTACATTATATTCGGCACTATTTCAAATGCTGGCAATGTGCCCAGCACCGGACAAAATAAGATACTAATAGTCAGGAAAAAAATTATTAGCAGCTACAAATCAGAGTATTAAATTAATGTGTCAGTGCAGCCCCATTAAATGGTTTCCAATTTAGCTTCAGAAGGCTCTGGGGCAATTTATAACAGTTAAGGAGCTATTGTCTATTTCCAAATAAAGTTGAAAAAAACCCCAAACCTCAAAAATAAAATTAATGAATTGACTAAGTGCTAGATGTTGCACCTCTTTTTCTTAAGAATAATCTCGCTATAGCCAACCGGACTACTTGCACAAGTAAAGACTGTACATTTTTCAAAAACAGGCCCAGTATTATGCTGTAGTAAAAGAGTTTTCATAAAAGCATGATAATCCTTGAATGCCAGCATTAAGTAACCAAATGACATGATACCATGCATTAATCTAGCTAGCAATGAATCATTATTTAGTACTATATTATTGTGTTTTCAAAATAGCCAGACAGGATAACCAATCTGATTATGATTATACAAATGTATGTTTATTTTTGAACGTAGATGTCATTACTCTAGCACTTTTATTGTATGGGCTAGTTTCATAGTTTTTTATTCCTAGGTTGTAGTTTGTTGCACATATGCTTGTGAATCATCATACAAATGAATCTGCTGGCAACACAATGAGGTGCTGTCTAAGTCTACATAAGAGCTGCACACTATAATAGCCGTCACTATAAACCACTGTACCATCACAGAAAGTCACTAGAGTCAGGCTTCCCCTGAGTTCATTTAGATGCCTGTTTCAGATTAAGATAAATGGCATGGCCTACAAATTTCTTTAAGTGCATTAACCGTAAATGATGGTTAGCACAGCCATGGACCACACCTTGCACTGCAGGTAGGTGAAGTCCTCCCCAGTCTGCTGTTATTTAACAAAACCAGTGAATGAACTCAACTGCAATTTCAAAGCAGTGCTATCTAACCCTTCAACGCTGATCATCCATTTGACAGCAATGATGAAAAGAAATCTGAGACATTAAAACATGCATTCAAACCTCCAATATAAGCATCACTGTAGGCTTTTCTGTCTTTACATTTTCATCTAAGGCTATAATTCTTGCCACTGAGAGCTCATAGTCTAGTTTTATATAGCAAGATGAACCAAGTCTTTGGTCTAAAGCTTTGTAAGGTGTACTATAACACTAAACTTCAAGATCCTCAGTGTTCTGAGTCTTTTGGGAACTAAAACACAAGCATCATAAAACCAACATACAAAAAGATGTAACTAAGCTAAGAAGGGACAGATAGAGCCTCTTTTGAATTATGGCCCAGAAAAGCTCTGAGTCAAATTCCTACTAATACTAAAGCCAAAGGAGTTATGTCAACAGAGAACTTGGTCCAGACGCCACTCAAAAACTATCAGGGATCTGATGTTCCTCAGAAAACTTATCTTTGCCTGAGCCCTTCTAACTGGATGGTAGCATGGCACTCCGCCAACAAACCACACTTATGTTTCCACTAGGGGCTCCAGCTAAATCTGAATTCCTCTGATAAGGTCCCAAAGTCTTTTAAGTCAAACAGTCTGTAAAAGAAGTCACGTGCTTTTGCTTGCTCAGAAACTAACAGCTGTGGTAACACAAAGTTAGTGATTTTTAGAAAAATGTGTGGTACATATATGTTTGATTTTTTTAATGAAGTTTAAAGCTTTTTATTCAGCTGTTTATTTTTCTATGAATGAGCAAACTAAGTATTTTTCAGATGACTGAATATTTCTTCTCATGCACTCTTAATTAAAATAGGACTTGAGGGACTCACTAAAAACATAGTGACAAACCTGTACGGGAGATTTCTTTTTTTTATCCCCAAAAGTGAGTATGTTGAGAAAGCTATGAGCCATGAAAATGGTAATATTGTATGAAGAAACAGTAGCAGGACCAAAAAAGGGACAATAACCTCAAGCTTTTGGTAGTGCCTTTTTGTTCTATGTTTAGCTGATGAAGAGTATTAGATGCAACCAGCTGGATATACAAATAGTTGATGAAATCTTGTTCTTCATGAAGTCAAACCTAGGGCTTTCACCACTGGATTTACAGAGAAGCATCTCCACTGTGAATCACGAAGAAGAAGGATAACCTTCTAGCATTTCTTAATTTAGCAACTGCAGTTGCAGCGATGTTTTAAAAACTTGTCTGCCAAATATCATGGGCAGGACTGCAAAACTAGACCAAAGGAGAAACCAGTTTTGAACTAACAGAAGAGATGATGACCTTCTTCACAAAAAGTAGCGAAAGACTATTGAACAAGCATACCCGCTCTAGTAAATAACTCAGCTTGGATGCTGAAAATGAACTGAAGGCATAAAAAAATCCCTCTTCAGTTTTAATGAGCTCGAAAGCAATCCAACTGTATCTATTTATATAGCAGGGATGGCTCTGAATATACTCTACCTGGGCCAGTATCTATAGTACAGTTCTGTCTATTTTTAATCTCCTAATATGAAATATAGATAGGAAAATTATATTTGATCAGTGGTTCTTTTGGCAAACATTAACTAAAATTAATTAAACTTTTGATGATATTCCTTCTCCTTTCCTTATTCTTTGTTTGTCCACTTCTGTGTAATCATGCAATATAATTTGAGGATCCTTTGTGAATGTGTAAGTGAACTGTGGAATACAAACTCTGTCTAGATTATTAGGAGCTGATAAGTCCATCATTTTCAAATGGAAAGATAAACTGTTCTAGATGTGCTGTGAAGTTACAGATTAAATCTCTGAATGGTGAGGTCTGAATTTTTCCTGGACAAACAGTTCATGATTTCTAAAGATTATCAGAACCATTATCAGATCAACTTATTTTCTTTTTCACGACTGCAGCATAAAAATTGGATTCTGAAGACACTTCAAAGTTAGCAAAGGCATAATTACATCTTGAGGACAGGAAGGAATCACTTAAGTCACTGAGTCAGTGAGCTCAGAGACATGCACCTTCCACACATCACGGGTTATTTAAAAAGTCGTATGAAATAGGTATCATAAGGTATGTTCTTCAAATACACTTGCATAAAGCCCTTGATCTGATGAAACGTGACCAACACTTTAAAGTAGTTTTTAAGAGTTGTAAAAACAGAGTTTTCCAGGCATTATTCAAACATAAGGTTTTCAATTACTGCATATCTTCCATCTCTCTCTCTCTCTGGAACAGCTAGAGTTTCTCAGTGTTAATATCTCAGTTTAACATAGTAAGTATTTTGAACTATTACAGAGAATATATATATATATTTAAAAAGAGCTTAGTTCACAAAACAAAACTGCCCATTGCTACAGTCTTAGGTTACATTATTCATATATAGCACACACTGTTCAGAGTAATTTCAGTGCCTCAGCTCCCCATAGTATCAATAAGGAAAAGCTGGCACATCCAGCAGTCAGTGCAGTATATCTGAGTTGAATAAACTTAGACAGTATCGAGGTCCCTCTCCTCCTTCTTCAAAAAGTAAAAATGCAATATATTTCTACATGTGATTATTTATTTAACAAAAAAAAAACAGTTTTATTGGAATATATGAGAAGAAATACTTGTTTAATGCATTCAGCCTGAGGAAGATACTTCTTATGGCAGAGAAAGAAAGCATTAAAAAAGAAATGTCTCTTTTGTTTAGAAATTACTTCCATTCTGCCATCATGCTTAAAGCTAAGCATTGATTTAAGTGCTTTGCTAAACAGTGGCTTAAATATGCATGTTGTAAAATTATGAGAAGTATGAAACACCACAAGTCTATTAATTAAACTGTGTGGAGAGATAAGGCTGTTTTATACTGAAGCATCTAAATTGTTTTCTTGAAACTATAGGCATTGTATCCATTTTCAGCCCAAAAAATACTTACTGATTGCAGAGTCATTGGAGGTTGAGTTGTGTTCATCTCGGATAAGAGGAAAAGGTGACAGGTAAGCATGTGTACAATTCTTAGAAGGTGACTGGTTAGCTAAAAGTGAAAGAAAGCTAAAGATTAATATTTTACTGCCTTAACAACAAAATATTTTAAGCCATTTTTTCAAATAGATAAACTGAGTTTCATAGGTCAAGATTCCAGGTTCTTTCCCAGGCAATAGCTTACAATGGATTTGGTTTGGTAAGAGATACCAGCCTTGTTATCCAGCCAAGGATATTCCTTAAAGGGCAACACATATTCTTTCTATGGGAACAGTAAAGCAGCCTTGCTGAAGGCACACTGCAATTGATATGCAATGCATACATATGCTTTTATACACATATGTACCTTTCTCTTGTGAGGGTTAATTATGTCTGTCTCATTATTGTGCGTCCCACAAAAAAATAAAAAACCCCAGGAAATTACTTTTTCTCTTGTGAAAGAACAATGAAAAATATCAGGCATCTTCAGAAAGTTTACAGTCTCAACAAATATGAGTTTAGTCTATGGAATCAATATCCCCAGAGAAGGGTAATTTCACACGTTATATTAAATGCTTATAAAAACATCACCTTCTTCCTTGTGAAAGATAAAGGCTGACTATAGCTTAAACCACATTTAAATTTCAGATTCCTGACCGCAGAATTCTCCAGATAAATAACAAGGGGAAATTAACTACAGCGAATATTACATATGCCATCTAAGACCAAGCAATATATTTAGCAAAATATGGGATATTGAAGTCAAATTTGTATGATGGCACCTGCTTCTCACAAGGACTGTGGAAATCTTGCAATAAGGAGAGGGAGCTCTGTACCTCAGAGGTAGGGTCAAACACAGAAAAAGAAGTTTTGCTTGACCTCTTCTTCATGGGAGATTTTGATTGTAAAATACTATCTGATCTTCCAGAATTCTGGCATGTAATGAAAGAAAGCAAAGGGTCATCTGTGAATTTAGTAGAAGAATTCTCCTAGAGATGACATGTCCTACATCATTTTCACAGTGGAATTGCCCATGCCCTCCTTACCCCACTTGTAGAACTAGTTGGAGAAACTCTCTAAGCAAAAATTCACAGACCATTGTAACCACTAAGCTCTTTTTTCCTATGTTACAGAAATAAACTGTCTGTTTAACAATAAGCGGCAAGAGACTGTCCTGATAAGAACAGTTAACAGGGCAGCCATAACACTCGCAGCGTAAGTTGATAGTTAAACATTTATCATCTTGTCCCGGGGTTTCCTTTAGTAGAGATCACAAATATGTATGTCAAGAATTTATTTTAGGGTAGCTGAAGAGTCTGATCATCAAAGAAGCCATATGAAATCCAGTGATTCATAAGACAGAAAAAAACCCCACAACAATTTTGAGAACAAACTACTGTAGAGAATGTAAAAGGAAAAAGTTACTTACTATACCAGAAATTCCACATGCTGGCATTATTCTCTCCTACATTTCCATTAAACCAGCACCTCCAGAAGAAACCTTCATGATGAAAAGTGGCCTTCTCCCCCTAGGGAGTCAGGGGGGTGAAAAAAAGGAAGCCATTATCATACAATTTTTATACGGCTGAAAGAATCATGTTCAACCAAAATTAGATGTTGAGGTAAAAGGCACCACCATCATAATGAAACACAGACTGTCTGAATATAGGTTAACTGTAGCATATCTAAACAGTTACACTTCCTTTGAAAGAATGTCATATTGCAAAAGTAGTATATCAAAAGACAAATTCCTTTTAGAGCTGATTAAAACTGGTTACAATAGGTTTTGAAGCAGGTTTGTAAGCCTCCAGAAGGTCAAAATGAGTATATTCAAAAGTTTATACAGAAGTAAATTTTTACAAAATAAACACATCAAAGAAACCTCCATATATAATTCTCATTATAAATAAAAATGTCCATACTAACCCCAGCATCTTCAGCTGCTTTTGAACACCTTCCTATTTCTGTAGCAAGAAGCCAATAATCAGTTCCAAATGCCACCAAAAAAAGCAAAACCCCCAGAGCTGCAAAGAAGCCTCCAAAAAATATCCCCACACTCAGTTTCATTATCGAAGTTGTCTTAAAAAAAATGCTTAATTACTGAAGAAGAAAGAGTAAAATAAATAAAATTATTGGGAAAGTGACTAAAAAGCTGTTTGGAGAACACAGCTCATATCTGAAGAAGTTTCTTTTCACTTGACTTTCTGCCTGTGCCCTTCTTTCCAATGCCCTGTGAGTCGATTTGTGTCTCCTAATTGGTGTGCGATGTGGCTGACTCAAGCCTGACAGATGAAAAGGGCCTTCTATTTTAGGACACTGATGGCAGAGCTTCATTCTGTTTTTCTGTCTGGGTGAGGCCAGTCAGAAATAGCTGACCTTCCCCTAACTAATCGGGGATTGACTCGAAATATTATTGCAGCTGGTGCACCAACACCAGTGAAGATGGAGATGGAGTTGCCATGGCTCCGTCCGTCCACATAAACTGCGTTACAGAGCACACAGTAGCAGCAAGGACTTCCGAAGTTCAGGCTTGGTGGTGAATGCCTCCTTGGCTGCTAGCAGGGAAGGAAACACACGCAACACTTTGGAAGTTACTATAAGTCACGTTGCTAAATGAAGGCTGAGAATTTTTTATGGAATTTTAAAACAAGGTAGCCAAATCGCAGCGATGGCTTTGAAAAATCCTAACCTTTATTATAAATACAGTTAGCTTTAAAAATTTACAGCTTACCCTTAAAGCAACAGCTTTCACAACACTAAACTGAGCATTTAACTGCTTTATTTATTCAGATACATCTTATTTGCATATATCACAAATGCATGCAATCAAAAATTCCCCCCCCAGTACCTGATAAAGAAACTTCAATCTTTTTGAAAAAAGAAGGGACTTTCCCATAGCTGTGCTTTGGCCATTTTGGGTTGTGATGAACTAACCCATTTAAATTCCAAGGACTCACTGCACAAGAAAAAGGCGTTTTCAACTTCTTTTCATGCCAAGCAGGCTTTCCCAAACATCTCTAGTGGATTACAGGGCACGCTTCTGCAGAGATTTGTTGAGTTTATACTATGCACCAGATCCTGCAGTCTTTACCCAATGACATTTCATTGGCATTATCTATCACCGGAGTAGAAAATATTCCACTGGCATCCCATGCTGGGAAGTGCTGGGATCAAGAGAAGGATGAAGTCAGTTTACTCTGGAAAACATTTGTCACAAAATTTTATTGGAACAGACTTAGGTCTCCAGAGGGACTCCTGCTTCCAATATCCCCCTATCTGTTCGGACAGTGCAGCAGTGTGCTCTAGGAGAGCAAGAAAAAGACTGTTTCTACCACCTCTCCTCATTTCCAGACAGATGAACCAGAGATGTGCCCTCAGTGTTTTTATAATACTACTTTGTCTGCCTAATGCCATATTCACATTTATTACAAGTCATATTTTATTAAAACCTGATACTATACTAACTTCATACACAAACACATCTGATATTTTCTGGTCTTTTTGCACTGCACAGTTTCAGTGTAGGCAGAAAATCAAATGAATTTTCAGTCAAACAGACTCTTTTTGCCATATTTGTTTTCCCTGACAGCCACTGATGCAGTTCACTTTGCTATAGCAGAAAGTGATGCTTGGAAACATCACTTTGCAAAGTGATGTTTTATTGTTCTTTATTAAAGAAAAAAATATCTTCAGGAAAAAGAAGAACACCCACAATGCGCTATAAAAGAAAATAAGGCATATTTTAGAAAAGGATTACTTGCAGGTTAGAATAGTGCTTTAACTTTTGATCAGTCCCGAAGTGGTGAGGCAGGTGGATTAGATGATCATTGTAGGTCCATACCAACTGAAATATTCCATTCCATTCTATTCTATTCTAATGTGCTCAAAATACAAAAAAAAAAAAAAAAAAAGTAGGATTCAGTTCAGGACTAACATGCACAAATTTAGAAATTTAGACAATTTCACAAGAGCTAGATGTCCTTCTGTTGTAATCAATAATGATACAGTCAATACAGTCAGTTGAGCTCATAGAGTGCTTCAGCACAACTTAGATTAGACTCAAGAGAGCTCATTTCAACGACTCAGGCAGACACCAAGCTCTGGTTAGTTAGTTCCCAGGGTACCCTGCAGGCGCTCAGCTGCCACTCCAGAAGGGAATATTTCTCTCCCAATTTTAACATCTGCCAGCCCCATGCAGGTATCTTAGGTACCCTCTTTCACCTCAAATGGCACTAGGAACCTATGTGATGGTGACTGAATCAAGCTTGGACAGAGGGATGCATTTGCCTTACCGTCATTTCCCACCATTGGATGCTCCAGGATGTCTACAGTATCCACATTTGGCAGGCAGGTATGACAAGGGACTTAGAGGAGACCCATACCTTTCTTGAATGACAACTACAGGCCAGGTTCACACCACCTAAAAGCCACGCTAGATCCCTCTGTTTAGATGGCTGAAACCAGTCTCCATTAGCTGATCAGATCATTCTAGAAGCACTGTTGAGTGTTTTAACCAGACCTCCACTGACTCTTAATGTCAGCACAGATCCCTATTCCACATGGAGACATCTGAATGCAAAGGTCTTAATCTGGAGCTGAATCCCACCCAGTGGGCTGGAGTTCCCAACTGTTTTGCTGTACTATGTGTGGCATTACAAAGCATTGGCCCAAAGCTCAAGAAATTTTATTCAGTGAAATCCAGAGATGTAGATAGTCACAACATAAACAAAATCAATGACACAAAGTTCTTCATGATATTCACTAAAAAAAAAAAAACAACAACCAGATAAAATTTAATTGCTTCTGATGTATAACATAACGCCATTTGGCTCATCTTAAAAAATGTTAATTTTCAGTGTCAGGGGATATGTGTTGATAACCTCCAAAATACCAACTGGACAGAGCAATGCATGACTACTGCAAAAGGGGACAAACCTCAATTTGGTGAATTCTGACATTGAAAATAATACAAATACTTTTCACTTTCATGCTTTACAATTCTCAAAGCTCTTTTCAAAGATGGCTATGCATTGCTATTTATACCTGTAACTAGGGAAACTGTGGTACACAATGATGAAATTACTTTTTTCAATATTACATCAGAAGTAAAAAGAGAACTCCAGCCACCTGACTCAACCATTGAACCACAAACAATAAAAGAAATAAAAGAAATAAAATGGCTGGTTTCGCTCTTACTGTACCTACCTGGCTTCAGGTCAGAAATACATCAGTGACACCACGAACCCATTTCTGCATGACAGTAACTTACTGTCATAAGTAGCTTCACTGAAATCAGTTTGCATGAAAAGTTTCACTGAATTCAAATGACAGCTGAATCACTGCCTGTGCAGTACAAGTATTTATTTTTAATATACTATACATGCACTCTGGTCTCAGTTTAGCATGTTCATCCTGAGAGGATCTAATTTAATTATTCTCTTTTATATTTATGGCACATTCTCTGGCAGTGCTATCTTCCAAATACTCGAACATCTCCAGTATTATGCCCGGCTATGTCAGGAATGAATCAGAAGCCATGTTAAGACTTGTTATGTCAGCTTAAAAATTCATGTTATCCACTACTTGAATACTCACAGAAAGTCTCAGGGCACTTTTTCTTCAATTAAATTAAATTCTGAAGGTTCTTCAATAGAAGAGAGAAAATTTCAAGGCAGGGAAAACTGGGCCAGGCTTACCAAGCCAAAACAATCATCTGAGTCTTAAACAAAATCATTCTCCACCTCCTTCTGAAACTCCTAAATTTCTACAGAAAGACAGGAATTTTAAATCAAAGTGACTTAGCTAAATTTATCCCTACTATAATGACAATGAAGTAATTAAATCAGTTTTAATATACAATCAGTTTGGCCAATTAAGCCCAACATCCATCGATTTTGTTGATTCATAGTGTAAAGACTGAAGGCACCCACATAATGGATGGATTCCAACCTCATTTAACAAAGTTGGCAAAAGTTTTATGATTTTATTTCTGTTTATTTTCCAGATAGATAGGGCTAAACTGACTCCTAAGTCTGCATATTTTATTTATGTATCTAAATAGCTCCAGCTTCAATACAGTATCTAAGACCCTCCCTGTATTTAAAAATAGAAAAGAAGAAGAAAAAAAACAAACTAAAATAATAGCAGGCTGTTTCTTTCTTCCTTTTCCATCTGAAAGGAAAAAAAGCTTGATAAGTCTATATGAGGGGGAGGTTGTTTATTTGCTTGTTTATGTTTGTGTGTGATTGAGTAAATGCCGTGTGTGCATGTTTGGAATTGGCAGGCAGCGCCTTATCTGTGCTGGCAGATATGTCCATGATCTAAAAACAGCCTTTTAGAACTGGCTGCATGTCTCACTATACACCAAGAAACAATTTCAGCAGCTGCCTTGGAGCTGAGTCCTTCTGAGACCTCAATGCCCATTTACTGTTGAAGAAAAACATTCTGAAGAGCAATGGAGTATCTCATCCGCTGATTCAGATCCTCATCCTGTCCATCTTCCCCAGCTGGGCAGTATGTTATCCATTGCACCTACACGATCAATTGTCAGTAGCGTGCTGGTCAGACGTACAAAGTATAGTACACCTTGTCCATTAAATCTTTGGCTGGGATTCATCTTACCTAACACTAGACAGCTGCAGGGTAGCTGTCTCCAATTCAGCTGGTCACCTCAGGTTTCCCTTACAGTCCTATCGGCACTTTTACGGCACAGTCTATCTGACCTATTTTTGGATGACTACTTCAATGTGCAATGAATCATGCCCTAAAAGCGCAATTACTTTTCTTCTTTTTTTTTTTTTTTCCACTGACTAAAAGGGGGCATGGAATAACTAGTTTGAGATATGACCACTTTAATCTCAATACTAAAGTAAATCAGGCCACAAATCACAGAATAATTGAGGTTCAAAGGGACCTCTGGAGGTCACCTTGTCCAACCCTGCTGCTCAAGCAGGACCACCTAAAGCTGGTTGCCCAGGACCATGTCCAGGTGGCTTTTGATTATCTCCAAAGCTGGAGACTCCAGAACCTCCCTGGGCAACCCATACCAGTGCTCAGTCATCCTCATA